TATGGTACAAGTAGGCAAGCTAGCATTTAACTTGCTACATATGTACGTAAGAGATGTTGTTTCTTTCACGATGTATATCTTGTAATATACAATATCAAATAAAGAAATGATGTTTACCTACTGGGATAACCCAAAAAAAAAAAAAAAAATAAGTAAATAATTAATATTATACTGTATATATTTAATAAAAAAATTAATATTATATAAATATTTTTCTTAAGTAAGTCTATTATATATAAATCAACTTTAAATATTTGGTTATAAAGATTTAAATTATATGAAAATAAGATTTTTGATTAAATTAATATTTTAATAATAAAAGTTATATAGATAAAGGTTTTTGATTTGATTTTTTTTTGTTTATAAATATATAAATTCGTAAATAAAAAAGTCAAACTAATTATTTTCTTAAAAAAATTAATATAAAAATTTTATTAATTATATTTTTTCTAAATTATATTAATATAATAAGTTATAATTATAATGATATAAAAATTGTATTTTGCTTAGCAATTTTGTTTCTAAATTGATAGCTTAAGTTAATTGAAGTTTATTGAAGTATCCGTTAAAAGAATAAAAAATTTCTTTTTAGAAGTTGCATGATTTTTTCCAGGTTATTTATAAATTTTTAGAAAAAATTTTTATTAAACTTGATTTATTTTAATAAAATATTATAATATGAATGTTTAATTAATATAATGAGCTGTTGTAGTCTGATTATAAGTAAAAAAAATAATAATAAATATTTTTTGATTCAATATAATATCTATTATATTAAAAAAAATTTTTTTATTTATGTTATTTCAAATGTAATTGTTAATGCGTTTATATAAATTATAAGTTATAAATAAGTAAACATTTTTTTAATCATCCAATCAAATTAGATGAAGAATCAACTTATTGTTACAAAAAAAAATTTTTCCATGTAAAATGGCATTTCATACTTTTGTTTTTCGAAGAATAAAACCTTATTGGAAATCAATTATACGTTTAAAACAACATGGAGCTAACTCGGAAGCGTTTCATACGAGCAAATGGAATTTGGAGAATTCAAAATTAGTGAATCGATGTTTTATCAAGGTAGAAAGAAATAATTTATCAAACATTGAATATTTTCACACATATAAACTTAATAAAAAAAGCAATTTTGGGATCGCTGCTCGACCTTACACATCTATCGAAGATAGTGCAAATAAAGATGAATCCTCTGCCTGCAATGATATCGATAATGACATTTCCAACAACATCAGTACAGAAAAAGAAGAGTTAACAGTGGAATGGAAAACTTTATCATTCTATTCATTTCATGAAATTCCTCAGTCAAAATTACAAAACATGCGTGAAGAAATGTTGAAAAAATTTAGAGAGATGGGAATAGTAGGAAGGATTTATATAGCATCAGAAGGAATAAATGCTCAATTATCATGTCCAATAGAAAAATTATCAGATTTAAGGGAATATTGTAACCAAGAACTGAATTTGAACAATGTTGAATTTAACTATTCGACAATACATTTGAAGGCTTTTCGAAAGCTAAATGTAAAGATTAGGCATCAGGTTTGTACGGCTATTAATTTACGCGCGTCAGTCGAAGTAAACTGATAGATCGTTATCATTTATGAAGATTGTTGCAGATGGGTTGGAACCGGGAACCTACGACTTGTCAAATCAACCTAATCACCTTACACCTGATGATTGGCATAGATCATTATCGAATGTTAAAAAACCAATTACGCTGATTGATATGAGAAATCATTATGAAAGGTTAGTATTGAAGGGTTTTAATTTTTGAGAAAACAACGTTTTTCTTTATTGAATTGTGTTTCTCACAGATGTCTTTAAATTAAGCGAAGTTGGATATTTCGATAACGCAATCCGTCCGGACGTAGATACTTTTCGTGATAGTATAAAGATAATGAACAAAATATGTGAGGGAAAACAAAATGAAGAGATCTATATGTATTGTACTGGTAAGTATTATTTATATTATTATTTTATTATTTGGAATGATTTTAGCGTGATAACTTTTCTGAAAAATTCCTCAGGTGGAATTCGATGCTCAAAAGCTGGAGCGATTCTCCTCTCAAATGGTTTTAAGTCGGTCAACGTTCTCAAAGGAGGAATTACAGCCTATGGACGTTATATATCCTCCAACCCATCGATCAAATCCCTTTATAAAGGTCGTAATTTTACGTTTGACAAACGTCTCGGCGAGCCAATTACAAACGACATAGTCGCACAATGTCACACGTGTGGAAAACCATGTGACAAGCACACAAATTGCCGAAATAAAACGTGCAATTTGTTATTTATACAATGTTCAGAATGTAGGGTAGCATTAAGTAGGACATGTGGATCTGAATTTTGTTTGACCTTGGTAAAAGCGTGGGACGAAAAGTTTGGAAAACCTCAAGGTAACGGATTTGATGATGTTAAACCTGGAGGGATGGAATGTATTTATGATCACATACATAGGACGAGACCAAAATTGGTCATTAAGAGGTTGGGTGGAAATTATGCAGACATACCTTCGGAAGTTGTTGCAAAGCTTTTGGAAAAAGCGCCTGAAGAATGAACATTGTCACGTGAATGAATTTGGTCACGTGTATAATTGTACAAAAAAACCATAAGTATAAAATAAAGCTTTGTCTTACAATTTAATAGAGTTGATCTCAGTAGAAGATACCAAAATGTTACAACAATACCCTTCACGCTTTCCAGCTGGCTTAATGATGCGAAACATGTTTATTGTTATATATATATTATTACTAAATATACAAAGCACATTATCAGCCAACGTCATATCGTTTTGCAAATGTGCGTGCGCAGAGAATATCACCATTAGAGCTTTGGAAGCGGCACAAACTTGTTCTGATTGTAATAGAGCATTCTGCATAGGTATTTTGGATAAAAACTGTACAGCTATTGATAGTCTGCAAGGAGAAGTCGGAAAAGGAACAAGTCAGGTTACAGCTACCTGTTTTGGTGAGGCATTTATATTATGATCTTTTTACGATTCCTCTAGATATTTAATCATTAGGATCGTTAATCTTTCTTTTGAATTTAGAACGAGATTCTTATAAAGATGAAGTGATAGTATACTTATATATCATCATAACTAGTGGACTATTATTTACCGCTATCGCAAAACCTTTTGTTGAAAAATTGTGGAAGGTAACAAATCAATGTTATTATAATAATTTAGTCCACATCTTAATATTAATCGTATTTCCTTATTTTTTTTCATTAAATGATTGCGAAAAATTATTTGATGAACAGAAACCAAATAATCTACGTTTTTATACTTCAATGCCTAATAGCTAAGATTGATTGAACATTTCATTATATTCATTATAGACCATATTTTCAAGTGCATTAAAAATAATAACTAATAGAGCTGTAAATTCTTTAATGTTTTAATTGGACTCTTAGAACTATATTTTATAATAAATTAATGAAACGGGGAACGTGGATCAATTTTAAATTGTATTAAATGAAAGTGCTTATTCTACCAGTATTATGTCAAATTCTAGTTTACTTTATTTGACGTTCGGATCATTAATTTGAATTTTCCATTACACATATTTAAAAAGTATTCAGCTCTTCATATTCTGTTTTTGTTCTCGCCACTTGTTCTCTGACGACGTGTCCGAGCGGTTAAGGAGTGTGACTAGAAATCACATGGGCTTTGCCCGCACAGGTTCAAATCCTGTCGTCGTCGATCAGTGTCTTTTTTGATTTTGCAAATTTAATAATTTGTAATAATAATAAACTTTAATTTTTTTATTATTATAAATTATAATAATTGTTTTTTTCTTCATAAATAAAAACAGAATTAAAATAAAAATAAATTTAAAATAATTATTAAATTCAAAAAAATATTTTTACAAAAAAAATATAAGCTAATCAAAATCAGTATATAATAAAAATTAAATAAGAAAAAGAAAAATTTTGAAAAAGTTAAAATAATTTTTTTATAAGATTATATATATTTGATAATTACAAAAAAAAAAAAAATCAAAAATTTTTATATTATTTTATCAATTCTTAAATTTATTATTATTTAAATAGATAAATATTATTGTTTTATTAATTATAAAAATAAAAAATTATATATATATAAAATGATAATATTTTTATATATCTTATTAAGTCAATAAAATAAATTTAATATTAACTTGCTTATATAATCTATTTAAATAATAAAAAATATATATATTAAAATTAATATACAATATATTGTTACGGGGAAAAAGTGATGGGTAAATTATAGGAAATTGTAAGGGTAAGTATAATGGTAAGTATATTAAAT